GCTAATTTTTTTTCGCCCCGAGAGTACCTACTGAACAGTGGCAAGAAGCGTACACCACATCCATGTCACTTTTCAACTCCCCTCCTCGGACAGCCCAATAATTCGTCAATTTCAAACCTGACATGGCTGGTAGACCACGCCATTTCTCAGCCGTTAAATCTAATGCGATAACTTCGGTTTGTCATACTTTGCGTGTCTTCACTCTGCAGCTAAGTAATTTGCTGTTGTGCATGGCACCACTTATCTCTTGTACAGGCCCCCCCCCGGGTGCTGATGCGTTCTTCTCCTCTGATCGAATTGGCTTCCTCACCATCATGAGTGAAGAATTTTTCTTTTTGTTTGCTACCTGGGTGCTATCATGCTTGGGTGGTGTCGCTCTTTTTCCCACCCACAAAGGTTACATACGCTACATCCATTGAGTAGTCGGCTTTGGCAAGGAATAAATGAGTAAGATCCTGTTCTAGACTACCAGTCGAATTACGGTACTGATTTATCCCACAGCTGTCTTTGTTAGTCCTACATTACCAGCGCATGGCAATGTCAACTCCAAGTGGGACGAAAACGTTGGAAGCCGAAGTAAGTTGACACGCGCTGATTTAAGAAGCTAATCTTTATATTATAATAGCCATGCCTTCTTGGCTATCTTCTGTCTTTGCTTATTTCTCGCTATCATGGAATTTTGGCAACTTGAAAAGCTTCTTGGCATTGTCCCTTCCAATCTTCCTCTTATCTGCGTCATTGATAGCAAGAGCGTCATACCAAGTACACGCGTCCGAGAAGTTCTCAAAGGGGTAGTCAATAGAGAACAGGATTCGGTCGGCACCAACTTCTGTGAGGCAGAATTGGAGGGTGGACGTTGAAAAGTGACCGCTTGTCGTGATCCATATGTTTCTGTCAAAGTATTCGCGGATGGTCAATTTGCAGTCAAGCCCAAGAGGCTTCTTCACATCTTCGAACCAGTGGTTGATACGCCACATGTCGAATGGGATGTGCTCTCCGAGGTGGCCGAGCACAATCTGGAGCTTTGGGTGGCGATCAAAGGTTCCGTTGGTAACCTAGGGTTGTCCTCGTTAATACTGGCACCAAGTACTACAATGTCATGATAGGGATCTCACCATGCCAAGGACGTGGAGGCTCACACCTTGAGCAAAGCTCAGAGGCGGGCCAATCAGCCATTTGCGCTTCGCCCACAGCTTGTCGTGGATGGAGCCTGTGGGGTTGCGAGGGTGAAGATAGAATGGCACATCCAGCTCGGTTACTGTTGACCAGAAGACATCCCACTCAGGTCCATCGTAGAAAATCATGTCATCTCCATCTTCACCAGCTCGCTGTGTGTCGTTGACCTGAAATAGACGGTAAGCGGGGTATCCGAAAGGATATGGCTTGAGAATCACGTACCAGTGCGCCCTTGAAGCCATACTTGGTGACTGTGCGCCTCAACTCCTCGGCGGCCTCCTTGGGATCGTGCATGGATAAAGTCCTGCAAATTGCAATGGTTAGAAACTCTTGCGTTAATTGATTGATGCTTAAGTTCGTAATACTTACGCGAAAGCGCCAAGGCGCTCAGGGTGCTCCTTGATGGCGCCAGCAATGTAATCGTTCACCTCGACGGCCAATGCTTGGGCTTCCTTGGGGTCCCATACGTCCTGAACACCAGGGGCTGTGTAAGAGAGGATGGTATATCCAACGCCATGCTCATCCATGTACTTGATACGTTGGTTTGTGATGTCGGTGATCTCAGCAGCATGCTTGTCAGGGTCGACAGCAAATAGCCCAGCCCACCATCTGGTCCGCTCCTGGAATCTGGGCAAGGCAAATGCCTCTTCGAGGGCTACTTTTCCATACATGGCGAAATAATTCAAATGAGGTTCCAAAGAATAATTGGATTAATTGATGATCGGGGGAGGAATGATTCGCATACCACTTGAGGAAGCTGCTCAAGTAACTTATAGCTTGTAGATTGCTTACACATGCGAATAGGAATGATTGCCTGTCCAAAAGTACTCATCCGGGGCTACGTAGGGTCTTCCCGCTGGCAACAGGGTCCGGGTTGTAATGGCTTTGCAAATGTGATATCCGGCTAGGCGAGAAGCGGCCCGAGATGCTGCGGCTAATGCACCTGTAGCCAAACGGTATGGCGGTACGCAACCAGAATGGCCCGCGTTACAGCGCACACTGCCCCTTGGGGTTGCGCGTACACGTCTACCGGAAGGTAGGTGTGAAACTTGAGCATTCCATGCTTCCGAGCTGCAATCTGGTGTCACCCCGAGAGGGTACCTGATGCCTCACTGCCTCCCATCATTTCAATCGTCAGCCGAAGCTGTCATAGTGACTAGACCCACCCCCGCATCTCCCCGCATTTTGTTCAATTCAGATCCCTGTAATGTGATGCAGTTGGCCGTCTCAGCGGCCTTGGCCACTCACATCATGAAAAGGGTTCTGTTACCAAAGCACACATTTATGATGAATTTAAGATAGATTAGATGCACTAGTCACGTCTTATACTATCATTTCGTGGGGAAGGCCTATAGATTCCTAGCATAAGAGCCTTGTTTGGCTGCAACGAAATGTACGGTACTAGAACACCCATTGTTTGATTTCCTCCAACAGCGGGTTCATGTTAGATCTCACGTTAAATCTATGAGAGAAAATAATATAGATTGCAAATATTATCGTTATAAAAATGCCTTATTATTCGGCATGCCCCATCTCATATTCACATGTTGGCCAATCAATAATTCGACGGTCCTGATCCGTCACGGCATTCCACCAATACAGAATCATGGGCATCAAAACTTCCAAACTAATGTTTCTTTCTTTTATTTAAACAAACTGAAAATGCTAAAACCAGAAAAACCTTGACTATGCTCCAATAGTGACACCGTTGGGAAGCTCCAACCCGATGGGGAGGCCACAGACAAACTTGGCCATGAACTTCTGGCCCCTCACCTTAGCCAACTTCTCCTCAATATCTCTGTACATATCATATCTGTAAATTATAGATGTCAGCAACAAGCCGCAGGGGCAGGTTAAGGTTCTGGGTTCCCGGCCAAACTTACGCGTTCATCTCTTCAATCGTCAACACCTTCTTCTGGTCCTCGACCTGGTATGTAGGACAGTCCTTGTTGAAGGAAAACCCTGTGAGAGATGTCTTAGTAACTTCTTACATTTACAACCACGCTTACTAGTAGTAAAAACTTACCGATTCTCTCGTTAATGTTGTAGGCAGCCTTCGCAGCAGCAGCCTGGACGCGAGTGGCCCGAGGCAGACGAACCTGGTCGTACACTGCCAAGGCCTCGGCCACGTCGCCGTTGAAGTACTTCTTGTTGAACAGGATCCCGAGGGCTGCGGCATCCTCAATCGCCATACAGGCGCCCTGGCTCTGGTGAGGCATCATCGGGTGTCCGGCGTCGCCCAGCAGGCAGACCTTGCCCTTGTGGATATAAGGATAAGGATCGTGGATCCAGAGACGCCACGGCTGGATCTCAGTTCCAATCTCCAGATGCTTGAAGACCTGCCTGTCGAGCTGCGGGTAAGGGTTCAGGAGCTCCTCCAGGGGACGGTCCTCGGTGCCCCACGCCTGGTTCGAGTAGTCTCCCTGGTCTCGGGGGAAGAAGCAGTAGTAGGAGAGGAGCTTGCCGCCGTTGCAGGGGGAGAGGACGATCTTATCCCACTTGCCCTCCTGGCCGCCCCAGTACTCCAGGGCGGCGTCCTCAGAGTAGTCAACCAGGCCGGCCTTGACGGCGTCTTCGGTCCTGACGTTGCAGTGAAGGCAGCTCTGCTCGGCGGGCCTCTTTGCTGGGTGGACGCCGATGATTCCTCGGACGGCCGACCCGATACCATCAGCTCCAACGATAAGATCGTGCCTTGCAGTGACTCCGTTGTCAAAGGTAATTATATTCGTTGATAGATCGATCTCGCGACACTAAAAGGAACCGATTAGCATTTATTATCTTCGCGTTTCAAAAGCCATGCTTCGACCAACCTTGTGGTTCACCAGGAGCTTCGCAGGCGGGCCTTCGCCCTCCCCCAGGGCAGAGTCCTTCAGCATCGAGTGCATATACTGCCGGTGGAACATGTTATACACGTACCCCCACCTCTCCTCGTAGTCCGCCAGGTCGTAGACGCTCACAGGCTCACCCGTCTTCCAGTCGCGGTTGATCAGCTTCTTCAGCACGACGGGGTCGCCCTTGGCCACGTCGACGTTCCACTCGTGGAGCCACCGCGTCCCGTTGGCGGCGCAGGAGACAGAGGCGCCCACCTCGCCCGCGTAGTCGGACCTCTCGTAGATGGTCACCTCGTGGCCGGCGCGGCGGAGGGCGATGGCGACGGACATGCCGCCGATACCACCGCCGACGACGCCGACGCTGAGAGGTCTCCAAGACATTTTTTTATGTAAGATTTGGTTGTGAGGGTAGAGAGATAGTTATTCTAGACTTGGAAGCTTAGAATATAGAGATGATGAATGATTAATATCTTGGTGTGTAGAGCAAGCTGAATGAAGGCTCAAGCGGGAGTAGAACACTCATATATCCTCGATGCCGTGAAGCATTCTCGCCGTCATCACCCACCCACCGGCTTAACGCCACCCATAAACTCCCAGAGATAAGAACATCTCCGGTCTAAGAACATATCCGCAGCCTGATATCGCTAAGAAGGTGGTGGGCACTTTGGTGTTGTCGACAAGTCGTCTCATAGCCCGTTCATATCCGCTAGTTCCGGATAATGCACCGCGGAATACCTTGAACCCCGAGCGAGCATCTTGGATCATTGAATGCTATGATTCTAAGTGTGCATCGTACGAAACTGTGAAAAATCTCTATCAATTCGGTATGCAGGCTTGTGAACACAGGTTGCGGGCCGCAGAAAGAATGATGAATCGCGTATCCGTAAGGCGGTTCATTATCAATTAAGATCAAGTTCAGAATCATCAGCAACTAGAGTATTCATACAAAACACGATCCAAAGCCTTAATACATATCCCTCTTCCATCAACCAGCTAGACAAAGGGAAAACTGTCCCACTGAGAAATATTCAGGCTGTCCCAATCCAGGTTGAGTTCACCGCTGTCTATTTCAGGGAACGACCAATTGGTGTCTTCCAGGCGAGGTGTGCCGAACAGGGTTTGGTTTGAATAAATCTCCTCGTCTTGGGGCTGCGCTTCCTGGTGCGCTGGCGAGGAGGCTAGGCTGAAGAGCTTGGAAACATATCGGCTCTTCCTAGTGCCAGGTTCGCTTGCCCGTCTTCTAGAGATAGCACTGGACAGAGACGAGAGAATCTCCAGATAATGAGCTGCCTGGGGGCTCTGCGCCGATAAAAACTCCAGTACTTCTTTGGAGCCGTGAAAAGCCCCTTCGATCTCCTCCTCCACCGATCTCTTAGCAAAAACCTTGAACCCAAGAACCAATCCAGCGGCAAATATAAGGGCCCTGGGAGATCTTGTCAGATACGAAGAGGTCAATAAAGGGAAGGAGGGGATGCTTACTTCATGATGCACATGTTTCCCTGAAGCAGGCCAGCGTTGAGTGCTTCAAGACATGTTTGGGATAGGTACATTGCCGCCTCAAGGCAAGCTGTGGCCAGCTGAGACGGAACATTTTCGTTCGGCGGCTGCGACGCAAGTGTTGACATCAAAATGGGCCGGGTAACTAGCGTAACCGCAAAATAGTAGAGGCATGAAATGTGCATCTTGGCGATGACACCGCTTTGCATGGCTCCAGACTGTTGATCCTCTGTCAAGCTCATTCCACCGACAGACTTCGGTAAATCCCGTTTCCAGCGATCAATTGCCTGGAGAAGGTTCTCAATGACGGAAGTTGTGATCTCCTTTTGATCATAGATCTTGTCTTTGACTTCATTGATGATGGTTACAATGTTATTTGATGCTACTAGCCAGTCTGTAGTGTTGTCGAGAGGCTCGTTGACGTCTTCGAGAAGGGACTCGCTATTTGAATCGATTCTGGCAGTGGTAGAAGGTCGTCCGAGGATCGAATTAACGAGCTTGTCGAGGACGCATATGCTCAACCATACGCGGAGTCTGCATGAGCAAGTAAGATCTCTGATGTGCGAAGTACTCATCGAATTTCATGAAACCTACCTCACCACGTCCATAGGCCCTGGCTTCTGTGCAAACGATGCTCGGCTATGTAGCCCAAGCGCCAAAGCTGCCTTCACAGCGACGCCCAGGTACATGAATGCCGAATTCCTTCTGCATTCACCGAGCATATAAAAGGCCATGAGCAGAAAAGTCCTGGCCATGTCTAGATCAGGGTCCTCGAGGAACGAAGCGAAAGCGCGCTCACGTGCCTTGGCAAAGTACCATTGGCCTACCGACCTTGCGGTTGAGGGAGATTCAGACTGGGCGCCAATGGCAATGACAAGATCGACTGCGGCTTGTCTCAGAGGAAGCTTCGTTCTCGAGTCCTTATTAGTCCCCTGTCCATTGGATTTTATCAGATCTTCAAGTTGTGTCGAGTCAAATACGTGGAGGAAACCTTCTGTCTATGGGTGTGTTAGTGAGTCGGCCGTATACTGGTCGCAAGTCCCTTACCACAGCGTAATAGCACCGCAAATACTTTAATCTCTGCTCTTCCGACAGTTCAGGGTCACGGATATCTGGCTGAGAGTCCCTAATGGTTCGGGGAGACTCGACTTCTAGCATTGTCTCGCTCTTTTCATTGTGTGAGAATGGTGAGGGCCCAATTTGCTCTGCCACCAACCCGCGCACCGTTTGAAGAAAGGATATTGACGCAGCACCGCCGATAAAGACTGAGAGATGATCAACTTAGTACATAATCACTTCGAATGGCATGCGCTACCACAGTACCTCTCTCACCACGAAGGTTCAATAGCATTCGCGACGTTTGAACAATGGAGGGAGATGCCCCAGCATCGGAGTCGGGGCGAGAATCAGACGGCGACAAGGGCTGAAAGTTTGACGAACCGACCAGCGACAGTCTTCTCTGCGAGGCCTGGTTGGGAGACTCTGTCTCGTCCCCTTCCGACGAGGCTACGACACCTGCAGATGCGGCAGAAACCGACATCCTCTGTGGGAACTGCGACGAGGAGTCGACAGCGGCGTCAAGCTGCCTTCTCGCCCTTGCTCGGGAACCACGGGGCGCATACGTGACATAACATTGCTGGGCGAGTCCACGGCGGAGGCATTGAGTACATGGCGGCGAGCCAGTGCACCGCCTCTTGGTTTCGCGGCAATGGTTACAAGCTTCGGCCACTCGCTGTCGCTGGTGCGCCGGGACCTTTGGACGAGGCATTCTTACAGACAGACAAAACAGAACATCACTGGTGAGGCAAAGAGAGATGGATGGGCGATGACATGCGACTGGGGGAGATCAATGAATGGGCAAGAACGAGGTCTGTTCATGTCCGATAAGCGAACCCTGATAAGCAGCAGTACACCGAGATGCCGATTGCACACCAAGATACAAGTTACACTCTTAGTCGGCAATCTTTGGCCAAGTTGGTTATCTGCCATTTGTCAATCCACTTGGCTGATTGGCCTCCAGCTTCCCCGCATTCGATCGGGGACTTGTCTAGGCACCTTGAACCAAGAGTCATGCAGATACCAAGGATCCAGGATCCTGGATGGCTGCATGTTATCTCTGAACGTTGTGGGGTGCCATCCACCACACCAGACGTCTTATCATGAACTTGCGGCTATGTTCCTCATTTTGTTCGGTGCCGCTGGTTATCATCGGGCGTCGGATAATGCACCTAGACGATAGCGGCTATCCCCCACTTGCACCTTATCACCCCAATTCATGTCACCAACCTTCCTCGTTAAGTTCCATATTGAATCAAGGAGAGATAAGCACGCGAAGAGACATCAAAATAAACCGCAGGTAAGCTTAATACATCATAAGTTGGAATATATACATACATCAATTATGACTCTTGATCATCCAGACCGTGCAATCCAGACCCAGTCAAGTTTCCGCAAAGGTGATTTAAACTTCATCACTTAGTTTCTACACAAGTTTAGAAGCAGAGGTCTTATCGCGAAACGCAAATATATCAGCACTATTCTAGTACATATAATGTTAGCCACTGAACTTTTCGTAACGAGGGCCAGCCCATGAGTGCCCGTGTCCACACCATCCTCCCCTAAACCACCTCACGCAACCCATCTCGTTTGATTGACTTGCTCGATTGATATATTAAGGCCTGTGCGAAAAGTCATTCAATAATTCGGTTGATCTATGAGCAATATGGCAATTGTAGCAGTGTCACAGCTAGGTGGAAGAGTACGGAAAAGGCTCAGGCAGGAAGAGGTGCTCAGTGAACACTCTTTCATAACTCCTCTTCCATCTCTCAATACTCAACTCTTAATGTCTGAGACAAAATTATCTGGGATAGGGTCAAAGATTCTTCCCACCGTCAGGCCGATCCATCCACAACAACTGGAACTAAGACTACGAGATGGGGCCAAAGCGATGTTGCGCCAAAGCACATCACAACAGCATGGGCGTATTCCACATACATGGGCGAACTCTTAGTTCACAAGCGAATTTCAAGTCAAATAATATTGTGTTGGTTTCAATAACCCATCTGGTATTATATTTAAGGAGAGGGGTCGGCGTGAAGCGCCGTTGAACAAAGGGAACCCATCTAGTTGTATCTCTAATGAAAGGAATAAGCGCCATCAATCGCTAAAAAACAAAGGAAATCCACCGGGTATCAATCTATAAAGAAAGGAATGCGCGCTAAATATCGCTAAACAAAGGAAAACAGCGTAGACATCGCGGCTAAAAGAAAGGAAGGACACGCCATCGTAGGCGCGACAAAATCAGATCAGGTGAAGAATCCGCGCCGTCAAGCGCCTCAAGCTATTTTTGCTCGCCGTGCTGCTACTTCGGCTAATGGGCTCTTCGGGTTTGCGAGGCTTCCGACTTCTGCGCTCGCTGGATGTGGGATGTACAGGGCCGCTCGTACCACTTGATCCCTCTGCTCTGGCCATAACAGAGTTGTAGAAGGCCGGTATTGGGTCGCTTTCTGCCCGCGAACCGTGAGGCCTAGTGTGAGTATGAGGGTGTTGGCAAGAGTTTTTCCGCTTCCGCTCCTGAAATTCTTGGAAGTCTTTGAGAAGTAGATATTGGGCGTCCGTAACCTGCACCCAACGTGACGGCATGCCATCTTCCTCCGGGGGAGACTCTGCCATGGGGTCCATATGCGGCACCTCAACCACTTCGTCTTCCAGCTCGTGTAAGCTCGTCACCTCAGGAGTGGACGCCTCGGTGTTTATCCAAGAAAAGGGTCTTTCCACAACTCGAGCCTCGACTCGGTGCCGTGGAGTTTCCTTTATCTTGGGCCCCTCAGAGGGTGGCTGCATGGGAAACGTGAAATTTCGGTTCAACTCCCCTCGTTGGTAGTGTTTGGGGGGTGTGTTGTGTGAGTAGAGCTCGTAACGCGACTCTCTTGCCCTTGCCTTTCTCACCCTGTTCGTACGCTTCAACGACGTAGTGGGGCGTTGCTCAGGATGTCGGTCAAAGTAGTCAATCTCCTGTTGATATTCAGGAGGACTATAGCTTGGTACGCCAAACTGCTCCTGGTATGAATAGTCTGGAGGGCATCGGCCCTGGTAGCGAGGTCCGGGGGGCTCGCGGGAGGCGTTCATGGTGGGTAATGAACGGGTGGCCAGTCTTGCTTTTTCTTTGCTTAGAGTTGTTTAGCTGTCGTTGAAATGAAATTCGCAATATGAGTGACGAAGCTTCAGAGCAATCCGATCAAGATACGGTGAAGAGGAGAGATGGCAAGTTCAAGGCTTCGCAGTAGAAAAATTTATACCCAGAGGGTATCTGGGTTGAACACTTGATCAAGAGATCTCCCACGCATCATGTGTATGCAGTCCTGTTTATGAGCACGGAAATCTCTCTAAGCCCCCAATCAAAACGCATCACACAGCCTTGCCACAAAACCTAATAGCTCGTTTACACAGCTCCACCATGTGAAAACGGGCTGCCAACTATGCACGCCAGATGGTCAAAGCAGACCCAGAGAAAGCATGGACAACGCTTAACGTCTCTTCATTGTCATCTATTGAGTGGCATAACACTTCTTGGCACGTGGGTTGGTAGCAAGACGTGGCTACCTGGGTGGTAGAGATGTGGTTACTTGAAAGGTAGAACGTGAACACTTAGGTGGTAGAGATGGACGGACCTTCATTCGAGTCTGACGTATTGAGTAATTGTGACCCTAATGGATTCTTTCTGACACGAGTCAAGATGACATTTTGAGTTTTGCGGAATCAAAGACATTAACGATCCTCTTGGGACTGCTTCAACCCCGATCCAGGCCGTACCGTTTTCCACGATCCTATTTAATCCGTTGTTGCAATCCCCGTATGAAGAGGATGCAATCAACTACATTAAGCGCCTCCCTCTTTCCAGGGTATCCAACGTTATCCATGTTCCCTTAAATTCAATATCTGCCGAGATGGGTCTCGGTGTTCAAAGATTCGTAAACAGACACTTATTGTCCATGTCTGACTAATAGTCGCCGCCCCAAGTTACCCAAAAAGAGAAGAAAAAAAAATAGAGGAAAAAACTACAATAAAAAAAAGATGGGTAGCGAGTACCAGAACTCCATTTTAGCACCAACTCCGACGCTGAGGTTCCAACCAAAAATTCCACTTCATGCGAACTGGGGAAAGAGAGTGAGAGAGAAATGCTCGAGCAACAATAAGGGATATATATAAAGACATGCTCTGAGTGGGTTAATATGTGAAATCAACATGCGCCATTACTGGTTGGCTTTTGTCCTGACTTGATGAGGAGCCGTTGTTCGTCTCGCTGTTTTGAGTAGCTCCGGAAGACTCAGTGTCTCCCAAAGTTGTGTCGGCGCTAGTTTGTGATGTTGTCGATTGGAGTTCGTGGGGTGCAGTGGTCTGCGCACCCGTCGTCAACCCTCCTTCATGGACAATTTGTTGAAAGCTCCAATTAGGCTCAAAGTTCTTGCTATTCCAGGCATGGTCAATGCGCTCATACATCTCATCAATCTGTTCGAGAGACATCTTGCTCGTCTCGTACACCATGCTCCAAACAAAGAAAACAGATAGTATGCAAAAAGCACCCCAGATGAAGAAAATCTTTGGCCCAAAGTCTGCATAACGTGGGGCAGTTCCCACCATAAAGGGGGTACTGTAGGCGATGCCGAAGTTGAAGAGCCAATTCGACGCTGTTGAAACAGAAATGGCCTTGGCACGAATCTTAAGGGGGTAAATTTCCGAGGTAACCACCCAGGCGACGGGACCCCATGAAGCGGCGAAGAAAAATATATTGATCGCACAGAACACCACGAGGATCAACTGTGCAGCCTCTTGTAAATCGTGGCCTGCGGCGGTAGAGAATGTGGCGATGAAGAGCTGGCAAGTGGCCATCCCGATAGCTCCAATCATCAACAGTTTGCGTCGACCCCAAGTTTCAATCACTAACAATCCAGGAATGGTCGCAACAACGTTGATAACATTGTTAATGAGCGATTTGGTGTATGGGCTCTGGACGCCAGCGCCATCGTAGAAGGTAGTGCTGTAATACATGATGAAGTTAATGCCGGAAAGCTGTTGCAGGATCTGGGTGGTGCAGCCAGTAATAGTACGACGACCGAGATGCGGCGTTCCGAATATCAGGTCTTTATAACTATTTGAACCCAGAGATAATTCGTATGCATGGTTAGCCTTGATTTCCGCTAGTTCTTCAACAAGGACTGGGTGGGTGATATCTAAGCGTCGTAGTCGGCTCAGAGAAATGCCAGCGAGTTCGTATTCTCCCTTCATCACCAAATATCGAGGTGTTTCCGGGAGAAACATGAGACCGCCAGTGAGGATGAGAGCGGGGAAAAGCTGAAGTCCCAGGGGTATTCGGTAGGCGGAAGAGTCTTTCATTTCAGCCGTAATGACATTGACAATGGATGCCGATAATAGTCCAATCGTGATCGAGAGTTGATATGCACAGACAAGAGTTCCTCTTATCCATCTAGGGGCCATTTCGGACTGATATAACGGGACGAGCACGGAGATCATTCCTACACCAACTCCAGCAAGGAACCTGTGACCCTGAGTCAGCATCCCGCTTCCCAAGCAAGAATGAAATTTCCACTTCACAACGAGGCGAGCATTACCTTCCCACGAGCATCAGAGGTGTTGCCTGCGCGCAAACTTGGCAAATAGCACCAGCACAGAATATTCCAACAGCTAGCAGGAGAGTCCGACGGCGGCCAATATTATCGCCGGCGGGTGCGGCAAGTAGTGCACCGAAAGCCGTACCAGCACTGAGAATCGCGACGATTATCGATGAATCTTCGGGGCAAATATCGAGTTGGTTTTTATTGTCGTAACAGTTGGTTCCGAATTGGTCTTTGAATGCACGCATAGCCAGAATCCCATTGATCGCGCTATAAGAAAAGGGTGTCAGCCGAATTGCCCCTGCCCATTGAAGCAATCACGAAGCGGAGGTTGATTTTTCATTCCACACAGACCACCCTCCGCGAATGAAGAAAAAAAGTGTGCGATTATGTTCCGTCTGATTTCCCATAATTTTTCCATCGTATATTGTGTTTTTCCCGAGTCCAGTCCATCTGGTTTCAATTGGGCGTCGATTCGTAGTGGGTTGGTCGTGGCTTCGAGTCTCGAGTCCGAGCCCGATGGATTGGAGGCAGCCGCAGAACCGTCGAGACGAGGGTGGGCGTGGAGATGGAGTGGCAGGTTGCAAATAAACTTACCCAGTATCGTATCCAAAAAGTATGCCTCCCGTGGCAACGAAGAGGCCTACCATGATGGCCGGCGCTGACGTGCCTGCGACATTGTCAGGCTTCTGCCAGCCCATGGCAATCGCCATGGTGTCGGGGTTTCGGACGTCAATCCACGGTTCGGGGAGGGGCAGATCGTGCGGAGGAAGTCGATGTTTCGTTTATCGGCGGGGACGCGGGAGCGATGCAATCGTCGTGGTCGCCGTGTCGTCGTCGGTGAAGCAAATGCGTTGATTGATGTGGTGTGAGGTGAAGGAGAATGGCAGGGCAGCCAGTGGAGAAGGGCGGTCGCAAAAAGCGGGTGGTGGATGGAGGTCTAGGCAGGGAGGCAATGTAACTCCCATTAGTGACTTGCTTGGCATGGGGAGGGCGCTGTGCATCGCATGGGCGGGTTACGTTGGGGGAGGAAAGAGGGGGATCAGGATCATCAGGGTACCGGCCACCCACTAGAGAGAACGCTTAGTGCTCGTCGGTTGCCTGAAAGTCGAGTGCTGTGCAGGAACTAGCACCCGCTAGACGAGATACACGAGACAGAGAGGTGCCAGCGGCCCTGGGAAGTACGCCTCGGCAGATTCCTTGAACGCTACGGGCAAGGAAGAAGAAAAAAAATAAGACGGCAAGAGATTACCAAGGCCGGGGCGGTTCAGCTCGGGCAGACGCGCAACTGACTAACAGGCTGGTTGGGTTGGCTGCACCTGATCTCCCTCTAGCACGACGTTGAATCTTACGTGCACAAACGGGGAGCGCTGGGACTCGAGGCACTTGTGGGACGAAGCACATGCACATACATCCAGTCAGTACATGAGAGAGATTCGAGAAGTTGGCCGTAGTGCCAAGGACCAACGAGCGACGGCGATCAATACCGCAGCGGGCGAGGGAAGGAATCTCGCAGTGAAATCAAGAAGGAAACGGGGCCAGGGAAGGGGGAGCAGCGAGGAACCAGACGAGCTGGGGCAGAAAACTGGACAGCGATCTGCAGGCTGGCGGGCTGCCATTGGCTGGATGCGCGGCGCCCCAGCTTCGAAGGGCCTGAATCTGCGCCATGCCGCATCCAGCGTTGGCAGCATCGTTAAAGTTGTACGTGGAGTAGCGGCTTCTTCCCCAGATCTTGTCCCTGTAGTGTCGCCTTCTCGTCGTGTGAATGAAATTAGGCGGTATGGCAGACACGGACACATGATGCGCTGCGATGCCGCGCATCCTGGCCACCACATGGTCCATCTCGCCGGTTGTTAGTGGGCGACGGGTCCTTCCGATGCTGACAAGAGGCCATTTCACGCTGCAAATGCTTCCTCCTGCCCGCGGATGCCGTCCAAGTACCCCCCTCCATCGGCCAGAGTTACAGTCCCCGCTCGCTGTCCCAGATGGACCCATCCCAATGGGTAGATTTCCCTCTGCGCAGAGCTGAGTTCGCTCCCCTTTCAATCCTGCCAGGTCGGCTTATCAGCACAGTCAGCCGCAGGCAAAACAGCGCCCAGTCCCTTGACTCAGAATCTGGGAGCCACAATTGCGGCCTTTGTACGCCGACCCGACATTGCACAGCGACCCAGCGAGACTGTCATTCGAGCGCAACCTCTGTCCGCTAGAAGCAGTAATAATCATGACACACCTCACCACCCCGTCCGTCCACCCATCCTATCGCACCCACCCTGGCGGCCGTCTAGTCTCCTGTGCGCTGCTTTGTTCGCTCTTTACCCTCGCCAAGCCGCCAGATTCCGACCAGGGGCCAACGCTTGATTGCAGTCAATGGACACAATGGCCGTAGCTCTCCGGCCACCCTCGCCCTGAGAGCAACCCAACGCATGTGAGTGTCTCGCGCCTCGTAGGGCTCCGCGACTCGAGAGGATTGTTCCATCATCGTCTAGACCTGTGGTC